TAAAAATATAAACATAATACTAAACAACCTAAAACTACCTCGGGTACATATCTGTAGTACCTGATACGACAACGACCCCATCTGCGTCAGCAAGCCAGTGGTTTATTATTTAATTTTGACTATTAGTATTACATATATAATGCCAGCTGTGGCAATGTTTGGACACTGAGCTATGTGTTTTTGTGTGGCAAGAATTTTACACCGTGTTTCGCTGTATGACCGCTTCTTAGAGCCAACCATAGATTGCAACCTTTGGGTTATTAGATAGATCCTGCACAAGCGATCAATGATGGAAAACTTGGTGTACATATGCAAATCGACCGTTACACATGAATTTGCTAATTGTTCTCTTACAATAGTCGTGGATCAAAGCATATAAGCAGCAGTCTACAAAATGAGATGTAGGGGCCACATGTTACGAAGATATTACAAAAATTAGAACACTGTCATTCTTTTGTTTCATTAATGAATGGTTATGGTGCAGTGGGGTAGGATTTGATGCCTGATGTGATACCTGACCATTTCAAATGACCCTGAACCTAAAATCCAAAATGGGTGTGAATCTGTGTAAAACATGTATGATGACTGATTTGTTGAAATACCAACTGTGTGCATTACTTATGTAATTGGTTTATATAAGGCGAAGTGACAGCATCTATTATAATAGGGGGTGTTCAAGGATGATCCCTATTCATTTGCATGGCTCCAACCTTTGCTTCGTATTGCAAGACGATGCTGAGCATCGTTGTTCTCCTACTCATATATTACGTGTATTTGTATAAAACATATATTATTGCATCACCACAGCAAGAGGAGATGTTATTATATTGAGATTATATCAGCATTAAAAGTCAAAATGTAGGCTGATGTAAACAATTATTGTGCATTCTTTCAGGAATGAGGTGTGGAGGTACCACCCAGGTTATGGCACTCCCAAGCATCGCTTTATGCTCACCTTTTTCCGAGGGTTCAAGTATGGCTTTGCTGCATTTGTGCTGACTGTCGCTGGACGGACAGCGTACGAGCATTACTACCCAGATGAGCATGCACACCATTGAACAGCTACACCTATCTATGTAAATAATAGCTATAATCCATGTATGTCACCAATGTTTGACAGTGGTATGACTAGATGGTACTTTAATGTGATGTTGCTTCTTCATTTGTTATATAGAGATAGACGTGTAGGTGAGTACTTGCCTAGGCTGTGGCTATGACGGTAATATTTATTTGCTGGTGCACGCTATTAAACAGTGCAGTCTAGTAAATCGTGAGGAAAGTCATCATTTTTAAGTCCTTTATGTTTGAAAGTCATACTTACAGGTCTAAACGTTAATGTCACAGTGTGTCTACAAGCTCCCAGCATTTGCATAGGCAATACACTTTGACAAGTTGATAGGTGTGGGTATTTTCTGTTAACTACAACCGATTAATTTAGAAAAGCATAGCAATGCAAAAAAATGTTATTGGAATAAGAAATAAAAAAGCTGTTTTAATGAATTTGGTGACGATGTTTTGTCTTCAAAATCACTTGGTCTATTTTTCTCAGCTAGCTACTTCACATTCGTTGTGGCCATGTGGGCTTTTTATGAAACTTCCATCGTACAGGTGTGTAAACAGCAAACAGGTATGAGAATTTTTGGCAGGTCTGCACATTTCCGAGCTATTTTAGTTGTTGGGGCCATTTTTGAGATCCGTGTAAATTCGTAGAGAAAATGGTGGGGTATATTATTTTGAAGTCAGCAGTACTTAGGTCTATGTTGCATTTGACTATCAGTGTTGCCAGCCATTATGATGTCAGATTGAAATAGCATCAGTATCTGGGAGACACTTGTTGATATTGGTAAAACAAAATGATGAAGTTTGGGTGTCGGCACACACCATTTGTTATCATAATTTTTTGTTCGTTTCAGTTTTATTCCGGGTTATTTTCATTCCTGATTAAAATAATTTGAAAGATCGTTCTTACAAAATGAGTGAATTTTAAGATTACCCATGTTTACGTGCTCTTGGTTACACACACACGCGTACGCACACACATAATAATATATATATATATATCAAGACTATTATTAGCTCTTGATATATATAATATATATATCAGGAGTTAATAATGACAAACTGACAATGACAACTGAATAAAAATTGACAATTTCTCATTATTAACTTCTGATATATATATATATATATATATATAATATGAATGAATGATGAATAGGTCATCATATAGAATGTAAAGCTGCAATGGTGGAGTACAGGATTTTCACTTCCATAACTTTTACTTGGCTCTGTTTAATGAAATGTGCTATTTCCTTTTTTTAATGTAACTACCCAAATAACATTTATAAGAATATAATGTAAAAAATATTTGTAAAAAAAGCAACAATAGACAATAATAACAATAGACATCGTCAGCATTACTTACAGTTTATCTCTTTTAAATTAAGACATTTATGAAACAGTTCTCATCGAGTCATGGATCTAAGACTCTGTACCTGAATCACGAAATCACCAAAACATCTTGTAGCGAAAATACATGAAACTAGTAATAGAAGAATCAATGCCTATCTTAGACAATGCTTCACACGCGTATGCCATTTCAAAGCCGCATTTAAATACAGATTCATGCTAACCCCTAATAAATGAAAACGTTTTACATTGGGTATATGAATGATCGGTTATCAATCCTATGAATACCATCACAGGTAAAGTTTCACAATGACTGCTATTAGATGTCGATTGTGCTTAGAAAAGCTTGTTGGATAACAAATCCCTCCATATGAAGCACCAATTTTACAGAACACACTACTGTACTTACACTGACCTGGTTCAAACAATATTTAATCCACCTTAGACCGTAACTACTTGGTACATAGATGGTTCCTGCCAACGCCATCTTCTGGCTATCTGCCCAGTGCTAACTTAGCTACTGATTCTTGCTGCAGGATATAATATTGTCATATTAAAGCGATTATTGCGAAAATTTCCCAGTGTTTTGACCACTTTCATGACACCTACCGTTATTGCTTGAGTAACAGCAATTGTCTAGAGTAACAATAAAATGTCGTAGAACCTTCGTATTCACCAAAAACTGCCAGTTTCGAACTGGGTTTGTCTATATTCAGGCCGGTACAGGAGATAATTTGCATATTTTGTCACGTGGTTTGTGTTATAACCAATCAGATGTAATCGCGGTGGAGAAGGAGGGGAGAAGCTGGAGAAGGTGGTGGAGGAAGGGGAGAAGGGAGAAGGTGGTGGAGGAGGGGGAGAAGCTAGTGGAGAAGCTGGTGGAGAAGGAGGAAGGGGAGAAGGGAAAAGGTGGTGGAGAAGGAGGAGGGGAGAAGCTGGTGGAGAAGGAGGAGGGGGAGAAGGGAGAAGGTGGTGGAGGAGGGGGAGAAGCTAGTGGAGAAGCTGGTGGAGAAGGAGGAAGGGGAGAAGGGAAAAGGTGGTGGAGAAGGAGGAGGGGAGAAGCTGGTGGAGAAGGAGGAGGGGGAGAAGGGAGAAGGTGGTGGAGGAGGAAGAGA